ACGCCGTTTTTTCACCGGTTCCGTCGCCGTTATTTTACCGGTTCCCGCTCCGGCTCCAATCCTGGAACCGTTTTTTTTTGCCGTTTCCGGTCGCTATTTTTTTGCCGTTTCCATTTTCAATTGGCATTTTTGTGGAAACGGTGAAAAAACGGCCCTGCCGCTTCCGGGGCCCACAAAGCCCCCGACTGCTCCTTGACGCGGATCCTCTCACAACAAGCGGGCACACGCTGCTCACAGGAGGGAGCCGCGTCCGCACTGGAAGCGTGAGGTCCTCGCGGCAACCGGGGCGTCTGGAGCAGGAGGGGCGGCGGAGAGGCCAAGCCTGTCGAGGAGGACTGAAAGGGGGCCCTGGGACACACACACAAATAAATACACACACAAATAGATACACACAAGTAACAGAATTCCCCATACTTTTTGCAATACTTGTCTGGGTTTTCGTCTTCCCCCCACTTCCCATAGTTTCCCATGTTTTCGGGGGAATCGACGATCAAATTGTGTCTGTGTGTGTGTGTGTTTTTTTCTCCTCCTGAGAGGAGGAAGGAGGGCGAGGAGGGCGAGGAGGTGGGAAGGGCTGGGGCCACGGAAGGGGGAGCAGGAGAGGGGGCCGGGGGGCAGGAGGGGGAGGGGGGGCGGCAGAGGAAGGCATGGGCAGGAGGGAGGGGGGGCGCAGAAGGGGCCGGAGGGAGGGCGGGGGGAGGACGGGGGGCACAGAAGGGGTCGGAGGGAGGGGGGGAGGCAGAGGAAGGAGGGGCAGGAGGGAGGGGGGGGCACAGAGGGGGGCGGAGGGAGATCCCCCCCTATATTTGGGCAGGAGGGCGCAGGCGGAGCGGCGGCGGGCCGTCCTCGGCGCCCAGGGTGGGCTCCTGCGGGCGCGCCCCGCGGGCCCCGGAAGGGGGCCCCGCGGGGCGCAGGAGAGAGGGCGCAGGGCGAGAGGCGACGGCCAGCGGCAAACCCAGACCCCCGACGAGGTGGCTCTTCGGTGGGACGGTTTTGTTTTGATCCGCGGGTCGAGGGCGCACCTCTTCCGGTCGAGGCTGAGCGGGCCGCGCGCAGCGTTAGTTCACAGAGGGGGGAAGGCAGAAGGAGGGGGCTCACGTCAAGGCCAGGAGGGGGCAAAGCCGCGGAATCAGGCGGCGCCGAAGACAATGTGCTTGCCAAAGAACGCCTTGTACAGGAACCCAGCGGCAAAGTACCGGAAATGAATGGGACGCACAGGGACATACTAATGCGAGATGTCCTCCTTGGAGGCGTGCGTCCGACCCGAACATCTAGTATACCCATCTTGCAGTATATCGTTTCCTAGGCGGTGTGGCCAGAATGCGCCCGCCACGGCGCATATACTACCAGGTTTTTCGGTGCGCGCGTCGCCCCTGGGGGGGGGGGGGGGGGGGCGATGCACATCGAGGGACGGCGAACAGACGGGGGCGGCGGCGGCGGCGGCGGGCGGAAGAGGGCGCGCGGCGCGGCCGCCGGCAGCGTTGGACCGCGGGGTCTGGCCGCAGGAGGGAGGAGGAGGAGGAGGAGGAGGAGGAGGAGAGGAGGAGGAGGAGGAGGAGGAGGAGTAAGAGGAGGAGGAAGAGGAGGAGGAGGAGGAGGAGAAGGAGGAGCAGGAGGACGAGGATGGATGGATGGGCCATCTGCGCGCAGACGACCGCCAGGGCCCCAGCTGCCACCAAGGGCCCCGCGCCGCCTCGGGCACGCCGCGCGGGCGCCGTGGCGACGAGGGAAGGGCCCCGGAGCAGTACAAACAGGCACCCGTCCGACCCCGGCCCGCCCCGCGGGCAAGCCCGGGGGGGCGGACACCACCCCCGCGGGGACAACGGCGGGCCAACCCCCCCCCCGCCGCCCGAGGGCGCGAAGTGTCTCGGCCAGGCTGTCCTCGACGTCGAGCTCCGCCGCCGCGCCGGCCCCGACGGCAGGCTCCCCGCCTCCCACGGCGCTCCTCTCGCTCGCGTCCACTGGCCATGGCTCGGACGTCCATTCCCTGTGTTTTTGGTCGGTCTCGTGCGTGTTTTTTTCGCCAAGTGAGCAAGGATGCTCCTCGATGGTCCTCGCCGACGGAAACATGCACACGTCCGAGCGATGCCAGGGCCCAGAGGGGCCCGCAACGTCCTCCACGAGGGGGCCACGGGCGCCTCCGACCCCTCGAGAGGCCCTCGGGAGCCCCCGCCGCCGCACATCCTGCTGGCGACTGCACCGAGCAGCCCCGCTCAGCGTCAGCCGCGACCACCTCCGACTCCCCGCCCAGGACTCGGGTCGGGCGCAAGCAGAGGGCGCAGGCGAGAGACGACGGCAACGGCAAACCCAGACACCCGACGATGTGACTCTTTAGATGGGACGCACAGGGACATACTACTACGATATGTCCTCTCGGGTCGGGCGAGAGGGGGGGGATAGCAAAGGGGGGGCTTGAGACCCAGCTTACGGAGCTGCTTTTGACGGCGCCTCGCGGCGCTGGCGGCGACTGTGTATCGAGGACTGGGCCCCTCGGTGGGGCCGAAACTAGCTCAGATTTTGCAACCCCCCCTTCCCCAATCCCCCCCCGTTCGCCCGGCCCGAAGGACCACGACGCACTCCGCCGGCGGCTCGGCCGTCACCTCGACGCCGAGGCCCTCCTGCTTTCTGAACCACGGTGGTGTCCAGAAACGGTCTCATAGCTGACACACGCTGCTCACAGGAGGGAACCGTGTCCGAACTCGAGTGTGAGGTCCTCACGACAACTGGAGCGTCTGGAGCAGGAGGGGCGACGGAGGGGCCAGGCCTGTCGAGGAGGAATGAAAAGAGTCCTGGGACACGCAAATACATAGACACACAAATAACAGGATCCACCATAGTTTCCCAATATTTTCCTGGGTGTTTTGCCTCCCCCCATACTTCCCATAGTTTCCCATACGTTCGGGGGAATCGACGATAAAATTGTGTCTGTGTGTTCTTTCTCCTCCTGAGAGGAGGAAGGAGGGCGAGGAGGGCGAGGAGGTGGGAAGGGCTGGGGCCACGGAGGGGGAGCAGGAGAGGGGGCTGGGGGCCAGGAGGGAGGGGGGAGGCAGAGGAAGGAGGGACAGGAGGGAGGGGGGTGCAGAAGGGGTAGGAGGGAGGACGGGGGAGGAGGGCGACGATGGAGGAGGGGCGGAGGGGGCGAGGAGGAACGCGGGGGTGGGGCGAGACAGAGGCGGAGCACACGCGTCGGCCACTGTGCCCTGCTCGTCGGGGTGCAGGCGGGAAGGCGCCGCGCCATCCCCCCCCGGAGGGAGGCGGCGGAGGGGGCCGGAGCACGGAGGCGTCTGCTCTCGCTCTCGGCTCACGGGGCCCCGTGCATCGCCGTGCCCATCGAGAGCGTTGTGGATGCCACGACAGAGGACACCCTAACATGAAGGGGCCCCAGGACACACACAATTAAATACACACAAATAAAAAGATTCCCCCATATTTACAAATATTTTCTGGGTTTCTGTCTTCCCCCACACTTCCCATATTTTCCCATATTTTCAAGGGAATCGAAGATTAATTGTGCCTGTGTGTTTCTTTTCCTCCTGATAACAGGCCTATCATTGAATTTAACATGTGTTCAAAATGTCGGAAGCATGTTTTAAGCATGTTCAAGCCATATGTGTGTTGCATGTTTACAACATGTTCCACACACGTTGTAGACATCTGGGAATTCTTTGGCAACATGCTTCCTCTCCATGGATCGTCCTCCACAGCAAGAGCGGATCTGGGACCGAAGGGTCGCATCCGGGGGAGGGGGTCGTCGGGGCCTTGGCTGGAAGGGGCGCGGTGCATACAGTCGGGGATGATTGGAGAGGACACGCGAGAGGACACCGGACCATTCCGAGGGCCACACTGCCATACCCATCGGTCGGAAAAAGTAGGTAGAAACATGAAGTAGGAAGGCGTGGGAAATAGATTGGGTTTCCGCACGCCTCCTGAAGAGGAAGGAAGAGGGAAAACCACTCGACTCTTGAAGTAGGAAGGCGCTGAAAGTAGATTGGAATCTGGGAATCCAAAAATACCTACTTTCAACGACCGATGGGTAGGCATGTAAGAAGGCATGGGTCGCGAAGCTCAGGGCACAAAGTTACCATCGATTTGGCAGGGTCGACCTACGAATCTGTCTCGACGGTACACCGCGTCGCCAGGTCGGCCATGGAGCTCGGCGTGTGAGCGCCCCCGAAGCTGTGGGATGCTGGAGCGCCTGTGGCAGAGAAAGAAAAGACATCCGCCACCGTGCCACTGGGCACGGAACGGGCGTGTCCTCGGCTCCAGTTTCAAATCCCTGGAGCCTCAGTCCTGTCCTGAGGGGTCTTCAAGGGGCCTGGGCCCCGAATTCCGCAATCTGCCGAGGCTTGCAGCGTGCCCCCTGGGGCTCCGGCAAGTGTTCCCGCATGAATGTTTCGAGCTGTGGGATGCCGAAGCGCCCGTTTACCAGCCTGGAACATATCCCTATCCCTATGCTGGGCATCGCCTCATCACGATGCCAATCTTAGGGTTTCCCTAAGATTGTGATCGCTTTTTGGTATGTCGATCTTAGGGATAGGGATATGTTCGAGGCTGGTAAGCCTGTGCTAGAGAAGGAAAAGGGAATACGCATAAGCAGTTGGAAGTCCGCGCGGGCTTCCGGATCGGCACCGGGCCCCCCCCTCCCCGGCGCACGCAGCGCGCCCTGGGCCGGCGCCGGCGGCGCCGCCCAGAGGGGCCCCGCGCCGATCCGAGAACTCCGCGCGGATCTCCCCGTTCGCTCCTCGACCCTTGGCCGACCAGACGGCGTGACGCTCTCGGCGAGCCCCCGGGGAGGTGCTCGAACAAAATCCCTCGACAACATCGTGCGCTTCACGGCTCAGCCGGCTGTCTCATAATACTCAACCCGAATGTTATGCACAAGCCGCACCTTGACCACTCGATCGAACCACGAAAAAGCAGAACAGCATCAGAAACGACAACGTCTCTCAATTTACACTTGGCAATTCACAAATTGACTCGATCTGTGCAGGAGGAGGTGCCCTCCGCGAGGCGGGCGCGCCGGCGGCGCGCCTCCATGAGGAAGGAGAAGTGCAGCGTGGCCTGCGGGCCCCCCTCGGTGGCTCCGCCGCGCCCCCCCCCCCCCGTGGCCGATTCTGGACCTCCTGCCCTCCCCCTTCTCCTCCTCCTCCTCCTCCTCCTCCTCCTCCTCCTCCTCCTCCTCCTCCTCCTCCTCCTCCTCCATCTCCTCCTCCTCCGCCCCGTAGCCGATTCTGGACCGCGCCCCCCCCCCTGCCATGGTGTTCCCACCGCACGTGAGGACCACATCCCTGGAATGGGTTCGGGCACCCAGAAGAGCATGGATCGAGGATGGACAGACCCCCCCTTAGTAAAACGTGGTTTACTGAAAACGACCCGAGGCCCAAACCTGGCGCCCTCTCGAGAACCGAAAACGGACAATTCACTCATCGACGTGTCACTGTGGGGGGGTCCGTCCGCCCCCGAATGGAAACGGCGTCTGCCGGGTAGGCACCGTTTTCCATACGTTTCCCGACACGCCGGGGAAGTGTCGAAGGAGCATCGCCTCCCCAGGCCTGGCACGTGATAGCCTTCCAGTTTCGATATTGTCGGTCAGAGCTAAAGTTCGGGAGCGGCCAAGAGGGGGGTGTCCAAGAGGGGGGGGGTGCAAATCATGACCGGCGGCACGTGCGCGGCCCAGCGGGGGGGCCAGGGACGTAATGAAATAAGAAGAGGCGCCATGAAACCTGGGGAAATATTATGGCCCCCGCCATGATATCCCCCCCCCTAGTCATCACCCCCCTCTTTGCCGCCCTCGAAAAGTAGGTTGGAACATCACGAGGCCACTGGCGGCGCTCAACCTTGAGGTCGCCCGCCCTGAGGTCGCAGCCGCGTCGACACTGCGCGAACCTGCCGTGATCTCTCGTGGTTCAGCATCGCCGCCAGACCCTCCCCCCTGATCCTGCTCCTGCTTCACCTTGTTAAAGGGGCCCCAGGACACACAAACAAATACACACAAATAAAACGATCCCCCATATTTCCCTATACTTTCTGGGTTTCTGTCTTCCCCCCCACTCCCCATATTCTCATATATTTTCCTGGGAGTCGACGATTGAATGTGTCTGTGTGTTTCGTTCCCTCCTGCTCCTCCCCCGTTCTGGCTCGAGCGATCGCACGGCCCCCTCCCCGGCGCCGCCGCCTGCTGCAAGCGACAAACCTACCCGCAGCAAGGGCGGCTGTGTGCGCGCGTCTCGCGCTGCGCGAGGCGCGGGGCGCGAAAAACGTCGCGCTTTCGACCCGCCCCCTCCCGAAGATGAGAGGGGGAGGAGCAGGATAAGAACGAGCATTTGCAAACCGCGCGCGAAACACTTCGGGCCCTGGTGGCGGTACTTGCCCGTTGCCACATCCGTACCCTCGCGGTCCAAGCGCGATGCCACGGATACGCGATCCCATGGAGACGTTCCGCGCGGGGCATCCGCGCAAGGCCGCCCTGTCGCCATGGGCCATTGGGTCGCGCGCCCGAGGAGTCCGGACCGCGAGACCGTGGATGTGGACGAGTGTCTCTGCCACGATTCTTAGTGCCGCCGCCTGTGAACGCCACCCTCCTCGTGCCCCTTTGCCAATCTTCGCCTCCGTTCGGCTGTGTGACCATGGGCCAGGGCTCAAAAGCAACGCCCGCCGTCTTTTAACGTTACCTTTGAATGGGCAACGGGGCATCCGCTGGGACAGCATTTTGGGGGTGCCTGCCCTCCTCCGCCTCCTCCTCCTCCTCCTCGTCCTCCTTTTTTCTCCTCCTCCTCCTCCTCCTTTTCCTCCTATCTTACTCAAAGGCCTTGACACAAACAAGAACTGGATGTCATGAGTGTTGTCTCCAATGATTGCACTTGTCAGCGCGAAAACAAATGACGATGCGGCCTACAGCCACCGACGCTGAACACGCTGGATAGCACTACGCGCTCACTGGCGGAAGAGTATACTGCGTGCGGGAAATACCGGGAACAGGCGATGAACGCATGTGGCAGGACGAAAATAAATATAAAAGAAGAAGCATGCGGAGGAGGAGGGGGAAGAAGATGAGGAGAAGCAGCCTCGCTCGCTCACCTGAGGGCCTAGAGGCTGAACTTAGATAAGAAAGCCAAGGCGAGGCCAGTGCCTCCCCCTAGCATGCACGTGCGGAGGCACGGAGAGTGAGGGAACAGATCCTACGTGGCTTCCGAAGGCAAGCGAAAAGGCTCGTCCAGCACTGGCAAGGGTCTAAGGCAACCCTTTCACGATACCCTGGCGCCCAGCATCGGCCGTGCACAGGACGGAGAAGTTGTGCCAGCGGGGTACGTGTAAGCGGGGGAAGTGCCTGTTCCCAATCACATGGCCACAAACAAACAAAAAACAAACCAACGTGTCGGGTGGGCTCCTCCCATCCACCTCGCGCTAGGCCGGGCAAACCTCTTAGGAGGGAGGATTCATTCGAGGGCCCAACCAGGGGCAACTTGCCTGCAGCGCTCGTGCTGCGTCCTACCATCCTCCTCGCCCTCCTCCCCCCCTTCCTCTACTTGTGCTCCTCTTCCTCCTCCTCCTGCCCCTCCTCCTCTGCCCTGTGTCCTGTGAAGGCTAGGTCCTCTGAGACCCAACCGACCGCTACGGCTCCGCAGGGACTCGCGCAAGATGAACCTCCCCGCTTGACATCTCGTTGCAGCACGTGGACAGAATTAGCGGGAAGGGGAGCCGCCAATACTTTCCAGACTGACGCTCCCTCCCCGCTCTGAACTTCTCCGGGGCCTCACGCCCCATCGCGCAACAGATCCCTTCTTCCTCTCCCCCGCCGACCCCCCGAGGAAGGGGTCGGTCAGACGAGCGCGCGCTGAGGGCGCGCGCGCCGACTGAATCGATAAGTAAACTTACGTCGACATGCGGACGCCCGCTCCTGTAATAGACGAACACAGAGCGCGTACACTCGGACCTGGGCAGACGGTCGAAAAAAACACCCTAGCTGTGGTTGTGGCCTTTTTGTTGTGTCCAGATAGTTGGCAAACCCGACCACGCCGAACGACCGCGGCGGACATGCACCACGCAGGGCGCGGCCGGGCGGTACGCGGGCTGGACTTCGGCCCGCGTTTCCCGGCCTGCGCTGCCCTGCCGGGCACTGGCGCCTCCTGCTGAACCGGAGACCCACCAGCGCCAAAATAATTGTCGTTTCATCCTTTTTCCCTCCGAAACCACCTTACAGCATGAGCAGCGAAGACAACTTAGCGCGGCGCACGGTATCTCCGCACAGCTGTCTTCCGGATGCCAGCTGGGATGAGCGATCTATCCTCGTTGGGAAAACCGACAGAGTCAGAAACGGCAGCCCCGTGTCTGCCGACTTCTCCGGCCCGCGTCTGCCCGTCGGCGTTTCCAAAGGGTGGAGTTGGCAACCCGCGCCCTCCGGGGCGAACGAAAGTTCGACGGGGTTCTCTGCCCCGCCCCGACGTGGGCTCACGAAGCCTTTGGCGCCGCGCGGCGCCCGCCTAACCCGCAACAGCGCGGATCGCAAACGACGTGCTGGCATGGCCTCGCCCAGGGAAGTCGCCAGTTACTTTTGGCGGCGGCGGCGCGGCGACCCAGCTGGCAGTGCCGCCGCGAGGCCGCGTCTCCCGCGGGGGGGCGCGGGCTCGACGCCGCGCCGCTCCGTGGCCGCACGGGAGGGCCTTGGGGCCGGCGTTTTCGGGGTCCGCCAGCAACGGGCGATCGACCCTCGACGCCAGACGACGGAAGTCTTGTTGAACCCCGCGGAACCACCGAGGGGGCGACCATGTCGACTTTCATGGGCCCCGCCCGCAACTCCATGAAGAAACCAGATGCCTCCGCCAACGCCCCAATGCCGTTGCCGTTCGAGTGCATGGTCTCGAAGAGGAAGATGCTGAAACCCACCACCCCTGTATCTACGTCCAACTGCCCCAAGATTCGCTGGGCGATGCTGTCCCCAAGGACAATGAAAGAGTTGTCCTCTGTCAGTGTTATGTGTCCTCGGTCGCGTGAGCTAGACCTTGGGCGCTGCTAGGCCATCGCTCTTCTACCGATCCTGCGGACTCCCAGTCGCTGGTTCTGTCAGCTCTCGCTTCGCGCACTGAGGCCCATACAGGTCCTGCACATTCTGCTTATGATCGTTCAATTTCAATCCATCCGTCGCGGCCTCCACGTTAATAGCTGTCAGTCCAATGAAAAGGCAATGAGAATGGTGAGCGGGTCTGCCGTTGCGAGGATTTCCCCCGCGTAAGAAAATCACACACGAAAGATACTTGGTGAAGGTTCCATCTGAAGAATGTCAACTCCCAGCTCGCAGGCCGCAGTCATCATCCCAGATCGTTTGGAAGGGTTCGGCGACATGTCGAGCGTGATCCAGCCCGACTTCGCCGTGACTCTTGGGACTGAGGTCCAGTAGCTGGCAGGGGTGCCCCGCCGTCTCGCAACGTTGGCACGTAAGGCGATCTACTCGGGACGAAAAAAAAACATGTGTCCGAAGCTTGGCCACGAGGCCCCACGGCACGAGCCGGGCCGCCCCGTCCGCCACCTGGTCTCCGTCGAAACTGCGCGCCAAGAGGATCCCAAAAAGCTTCTTGTCCGCCACGTAGATGGACTCCGGAAAAGTAGTTTAAAAAAGGTCTACTTGAAAGCGCCTCCCCCTCGACTTCACCAACCGCTTCAAAGCCTCTCCTTGTGTGCGTCGCCACCTGCATGCAACGTGTCCGACATGTGGCTCGAAGTATGTGTTGCGCCCGTTTGGCGTGCCGTTTGTCGCCTGGTAGGCGCGTCCAGACGCGCCCTTGTGCGTCTGCTGGTCACTGCACCAGCCGGTGTACCGCATGATCGCTAACCTCCTAGAACCTCACGAAAACATCCACGACCAGCTGTAAAAAAAAAAAAAAAAAAAAAAAAAAAAAAACGCTACCGAAGAACCCCACATATTCAATTTAAATATGATGTGCTTGCTTATGTCTTTAATATATGTGCAATCCTGCGTTCTGAACCCTCGTCGCGAATGTTTCCCCATGTGTCATCCAACGCCATATTGCTTGCCACGCTTTGCGAGCCCGCAACGGACAGGGAGA